CAGCAAGGAATATGATGGTCTATTTTATTTTCAAGTAACTATTGTTAGGACATAAATATTTTCCATAAATAATAAATGAATGTGTTTTAATCAGCAGTAGAAAAAGTTAATCTAAGTGGTCTAACAGAAAATGCCATTTAAAATAAGTAACTACATATATCCTTATTGAACTTATATTTAATGGAGTCCTATACCAAGCTGATATCAACTAAGCACCAAATAATATTAATATATATATGTGTATATTCTTTTCAATATCTCGATTTTGGTTTGTAAAATTCTATTAAAGCAGACAATGGTTAATGTCTGCTCTATCTCTCTTATACATCCACTCTATAAAAGCACCACGACTCCAACACATTTCAACCTAAATTAGTTAGAGAGAGAGAGAGAGAGAGCGAGAGGTATATTTGCCAAACAGTTTCACACTTCAATTTAAATTGAATGCTCCCTGCTGGAAAGGGTTCACACTGAAAGTGGACTTAATTTCGTTCGCTCTGATGGTTACCAATATGTCAGACACTCACACACACACACTGACACAGAGACAGACACAGACCCACCCATATGTACACTGCCACTCATTATCATTAGCATTCAACGTTATCAGCAGCAATAACTCGATAACGCTGTCGACCAGAAATTTGCATTTATTTTCGTCTCACTGGCTTTTATTTTGGTGACACAGAGCACAAAAATAAACAAAGCCACGAAATTTGAGAAGCGATGCTGTTCCTGCATGTACTGACCCTAACATACACACACACACACACATGCTGAGACACCCGTTCCATTTGTTGCGTGTTTTTCAATTAAATATTTTTACTACATGCCACACAATTTTTGCAGCCACAACAAGTCGCTTGTTGTTGTAATGCGACATGCATATGAAAATTTCCGACAACAATTTTCATGTAAATCAATTTCCAAAACGAAACGAAGTTCATTTCGCCGAAAAAGCAACTACAACAACAGCAACAACATCACTAATAAAAAGAAAAATGGCAAAAAACACAACTGAAATTGCGCTTATGAATATTTATAGGCCACTCTCACAACACACACACACACACGTCTAGAGCTACACACTCTCACATAGAGCCCCACACACACGCACAGTGGCACAAGTATTTCACAATAAATAATCTAAAATTCTATGAAATTACAAAATGTCAAATGGTATTTTTCCGGCTCGAACTCCGCATGGCCAACCACAGCCACGCCCCTGGGCGTTGACTGGCATTTAATGCGTTTAACAAGCAGCAATTGAAGCTGCGTGGTTTTCGATATTGCTCTTGCCGTTGTAATTGTTGTTGCTGTTGTCGTGTTGAATGTGCTGCTGCTGCTGCTGCTGGTGCTGGTATTACTGCATTCCGAGCCACTTCAATGACACCTGACACATTTTCATAGTTTTTGGCCAGGCTATCGCATATTTATGCCAAATATTTGTTGTACTATTTATTAAAATACACTTAAAGTCCATAGAGAATTTAAGCTATAGAATGAAGTATGTCACAGGTGTATTATAAACTGTGTATATATACTAAATAAATTTGCTAAATTTTTTAGAGTTCCTTATCGATGATATTCAGTTTCGATTATTCAAGAAGCTCAGTTGGTTTCTATACTATAATGGAAAATAGATGCCATTTTTTTTAAAGAAATTCTAATTCATTGTTTGCCTCTCTAAAAGGCTACAAAATTACCCCAAAATACCCAAAAACTCATTCAACTTTAAAGAACTCAGATGGCTTATAATGATGGCGAATGGATGCGATTTTTGTTTAAATTAAACAAATTCTCATTCTTCGATTGCCTCTCCATAAAACTCCAAAACTACCCCTAAAAACCCTAACCGAAAAAAAAAATAAAAAACTTTTTGTATATAATAGAATCAGCATCCATTACATCAACTCTAACAAGATCATAGTCAAGTCTTCCATTGTTTGCAATCGATAGAGTATTTCGACTTCGTGTGTTAAGCTCGTCTATTGTTAATTAAATTTACTTTTAATGCGTGATTATTGTGATAAATTTATCATGTGGAATGCGAATTGAATTTAAAGCACTGGCCATAACCGCAAATGGGAGATATTAATTTGCGCACAAACAATAAAATACCAATGCGAAATGCATGCGTGGAGCAATAGAAAATGGAAGAATGCACGCACGCATTAGAGACGTGGAACCGCAAAGGAAGCTTAAACAATATAAATGCGCAGCTTAATAAAGGACAACAGAGGCGAATGACACAAATTGGGTTTTGTTTTTGACTGAAGAATGTTTGAAATGAATTTATGGCAACGACATAGGCAGATGTCAGGAAAAGAACTGCATCGTATATCATTTGCAGTCGAAAATTAAATTTATGCATTAGTTTTTAAATTTATTCTCCCTTCTTTTCTCTCTCTCTCCCTCCTCTTTCCCCCCTCTCTCTCTCTCTGTGAGCACCCTGTATTGTGCTTAAGCACGTGCATATGTATATTCCGTTTCCGTGTCATTTAAATTGTGGCCTAAATGCTGCATATAACAGTAAATTATTATTTATTCGTACTTCCTCCTTCAAGTGCGGCCAGGAATATAAATTTATTATTTATATGCCATTATATTTGTTTTTTTGTTATTTATTTAGCTTCGACTCGTATAAATTCTCTCTCTCTTTCTCCCCCACTCACTCTGCTTTATTATCCGAACAGAGTTTGGGTACATTTAGCGTCTGGTTTATTGTTTAATTTTTATGACGACTTTTACCATTAAGCAAATAATATATAATTGAAGGCCCCTACTAAATTGAATGTGCATAGGAAATAAATAGTATGTTGCTCTGATTAAAGGCTATTTTCGAGGGTAAATTGAGATATGTACATACATATGTAAATAAAATTGTTTAAGTATACATCATTAAAGTTAGCAATTTAAATATATATATTTTTCTTATAAGCAAATATCGATACATCTATGTATAAAACTATAGACTTTTTTTTGCTGAAATAATAAAATTCTTTTAAGTTTCACTTTATTCCAAAAAACTCAACTAAAACATGCATTTTCTTCCTCTCACTTGCAGCACGCCCAAGGGCCTGGAGGATGTTTCGTCGTATCCCACATTATTCGCTGAGCTCTTGGGTGGGGGCTGGACCATGGATGAGCTGACCAAATTGGCTGGGGGCAATTTCTTGCGCGTCATGCAGCAGGTGGAGAAGCTGCGCGATGAGAAGAAGGCCGCCGGACTGAAGCCCTACGAAGATCATCCCAATTTCCGCACTGACGATCCATACAATTGTACTTCCAGCTAATTAAATCTAGGCATTAGAGCCAAACAGGTTGTACAATAGACCAGTTTAGTGAAGGTGCATGCAACGAAAATCTATATAAATACAATACACATACATATATATATAAATATATTTGGCTGCATATAAGTGAACACACATAGAAATTAATATGGAATATTTGAAAAATAAATAAATAAATACAATTGCATTCTAGTTATGTAAGATATGGCCTAGCTATGGTTTGTATAAGCTTTAAGTATATATTCATAAGACTAAGAGTATTTGGCTAGTTATTGCTAAGTTCTAACTAAACCTTTCGAATTTTGTTGTTGTTAAGTTATGAGACAATCTACAGACTGCCAAGAGAAGCCACAGCACCCACACTTTACAACAAATCGTTGAGATTCATTTGAGAAACAAACACCAAAAGGTTTTTTGCTGTCCACCCAAACCAACTGCTCCAACCGCAACTCCCATATGAAATTCGTTAAAGATTCCCCAATTACGACTTTCAACTGGACCAACAACAGAAATAGATCAAATCAGAATTACGATATATGTACCATATGTTTCCGACTTGATTCATTTAGTTGTTTATGTGAAAAACTACATATCAAGCGTGTAATAAATATGATAAATAAAATTGAATTAATTTCTTAGCTTAATGGTAATGCAAATATTAAAAGAAGAAGAAGACGAAGAAGGAAACCAAGTGGGAAAGCATACACTTAAATTGAATATTACATTATTATAATTATTAAATATTAATAAAATATTTAGGAAATTACTGAAAGCCTTGCGCAACTATGGGGCGGGCATTAATTAAATGTTAATTAAACAATTAGTTCAATTTTTTAAGCAGTTGTATAAACTCTATACTGAACGGCATAAATAGCGTACCACATACTAAATTAGCACAATAAGTAAATGAAAATGTGGGCGTGGCAAATAGCTAAAAGTGCATGCCACGCATACAAATTGTAAATAACTGAAATTTGGTAAAATAAAAAAAAAAATTTGAATAAATATATTACTCTAACTGCGAATGAATTCCCCCTAAGCAAAACCAAAAGAAAACTCTGTCAGTATCTCTGTACCTTCTGAACCTACAAAACAAAAGAAAGTTTAGTCAAATGTGCGTAGCCCTAAGTAAATAAATATACATACAAAATATAATGATAAAGATAAAGATAAACTCAATAATTGTAAATTTTCTATGCAAATATTTAAATACTATTGTTAAACTTTTTATGACGTATTTTATACGATTTTGTATGTATGTAATTCTGTATATAGGATTTTTACCTACAGTCACACACACTCATAAACTCACACACACACACATACACTCCTATATGATTTGTAAACCTCTATAGTTTTCTAGCAAATTACATTTAATACGCATATTATTACAATTGAAATAACAATTACAATTACATTGTATCTTAGTAAGTTGTTAGTGGAGCGTTAGATTTTAGGTTAAATGTTTGCCTATAAGGCGTGAGCATGATATATCTGTAAAATTTACATACATATACAATATATATACGTATATATAGTTATATAGAACTTGGATGTGCAACCTATACAGAAAACCAATTCACACATAATAACAATTCAATTCGAATTCTTCAGACACGCGTCACTTATTACTGCGACGATCTTTGGGTTATTGCATATAAGAAATGATACACATGAAACACATATTGCATGTAAAATCCAAATTGTAGTTAAATCTTGATAATGGATAAAATGTTTAGCAAATAAATTTCAATAAAATGACAACAGAATGCAGTAAAATAAACCTAAACTGTTTATATTATTTGTTTAAAATTTTATGGGAAAAATCTGGTGCATATTTGTGGTTTGTGTACTTGCTAAATATTTTAACAGTATTTCACTCAGATTAACAGAGCAGGCTGACAACAGCACCAATGTGAAGTATACAGAATTTCAAGAAAGCGAACTGCTTTGCTATTTAGCACTTAACATTTTGAACAACACTGTCTTTTAACAGTGAGCACTCAAATTTTACTCTTTACATTATTGCTCCTCGTTGAGAACGGCTCCACATGAAGGAGCAATGTCACGCGCATTTATAAATATATATATGAGAGGAAAATCCAGCGCGTATGTGACGTCACAGATTTTCCTGATATATTGAAGCATTTTTAAACGCAAAATAAACAGCTAAATATTCAATGTTGAAATGGAGTAAGCATTCAAAATTAATCAATTAGTTATTCTATAATATATACCATAAATATAGTTATATTATGCTGCTAAAAGCTTCGGAGAAATGGAAGACCATCTCTATGCGTGACCTTATAGCACACTCAAATCTCTAGTCATATTTTGTTTACGTTTTTTTGTTTTGTTTTTCTGACATGGCGTCAGCGAGAGCGGCGCCGGAGCTGCTGGCGCTGCAGCCACGACCAAATCCACACTCGGATGTGGATAACACTGACATACAGCGGCGCCACAGCACAGAGTTGGGCTACAACGAATTCTACTGGCGCTACATGCACGCCAATTGGCCGGTGATTATCACCGATGTGTCCAACACGTGGGAGTGCCGCAATTGGGCGCATAAGGACTGCGATACCGATACTGCAAATGCCAATACCCGCAACCAAAGCCCCATCAATTTCGACTACCTCAGAAGCCGCATTGACGATCTCGCCGTACCCGTGGCCGACTGCAATGCAACCTATTTCAATAGCCATGCCAAGCTGGAGCTGAAGTTCCACGATTTCCTGGAGCGCTGGCAGCGCAGCATGGAAGTGGACAATTCAAAGTTACAGACAACGGAACCCAACTGCAACGTTGCCAAGGATAATCTCTACCTCAAAGACTGGCATCTGGCTGCACAGCTGCCGGCATATGAATTCTACCAAGTGCCCAAGTATTTCGCCTCCGACTGGCTGAACGAGCAGTTGATTGAGGAGAAGCGCGACGACTATCGCTTCGTGTACATGGGACCCAAGGACTCCTGGTAAGTGATGGCTAGCCAATAGATAGTTTTCACTAATCATTTTTGTCCCTGCAGGACGTCGTTCCACTCGGATGTCTTCGGCTCCTACAGCTGGTCCACAAACATTGTGGGCCATAAGAAGTGGCTCATACTGCCGCCTGGTGAGGAACTAAAGCTCGCCGATCGTCTTGGGAATCTGCCTTTTAGCATAGACGAACCGCTGCTGGAGCAGCACAACGTGCGCTATTTCACCATCAATCAAACTGCCAACGAGGCTGTCTTTGTGCCCAGCGGCTGGTATCACCAGGTGTGGAACGTGACGGACACCATCTCGGTCAATCACAACTGGTTCAATGCGTGCAATGTGCCGCTGGTGTGGCGCAATCTCCTGAGCAACCTGCAGGCTGTGCACAGAGAGATCGCCGACTGCCAACAGATGGACAACTTTGAGGCGCACTGCCAGACCATGTTGCGGGCCAGCTTTGGCATTAACTACCTCGATTTTATAGAGCTTTTGGAATTCATCGCCGAGCGCCGTAAATCAACGACCAACAACAGCCAATTACTTTTCCATAGATATCAAATGAACGCCTATCACGTGCAATACGATCTTGAGTGTGTACGCCAGCTGCTAGAGGAGATGCGACAGGAGCCGAGCGTGCAGCAGTGCCCGGCCCAGCTGCACGAGCGCTGCGAACGGCTGTGGCAGCAGCTGCAGTAAGCAGCAGGACTAATATATCGAACTGAGAGTGTTCATATGGAAGGCCTTGGCATATTTTTGTATACCAAAGTTGTATTCATATACAAAAGTCAATAGTCAATAGTATTTTATAATATCATATTATATTTGTAACGAATGTAAATGTACGAAGTCCAGGTGCGGGCATTTACTGCCCGTCCGGCCACATAAACTCGCCCGCCACGGGCTCAGTTCTCAGCCAGAGGCATTGATCGATTACTTGGAAACCCAGCTTGGTGAACATCGCATTTGAGGCTATGTTGTGGGGATTCACCAGGGCCATCACATCCTGGCCAAGAGCAGCAATGCGCTGAGAAATCTTCTTGGTGACCAGACTGCCAAAGCCACGGCGCATATGCGTTGCTCTCACCTGAAGAGCGCCCAGGTAGCCGCCCTGCAGTCTAAATGGAGGATGTCCTAAGCTAGTTGAATTTCTTTGCAGTAGCCTCCAAGACTCACCTGATGCACCAGGCAACCAGCTCGTTGGTGTCTGCCGCATATAAGCCAATACTCACGCAGAGGCGTATTTGGCGCCGTATGAAATACAAGGAACCTTCATGACGATTGGGCCATTCCTCATTAATCAGCTCGGCATCCTGTTCGCTGAGACTCTTCGTATAGTAGCCAGCTGGTATGCTATGGGTATTGGGTGATATGATCGCTGGGATTTGAAGCTCTAATGACGAACTTACTCAGCCTCCAGAGCAGCAGCCTCCTTTTGAGGCATATAGTACAGGTCCGTCAAGTCTCTATACTGCACCCTGAGTTGTTTAGCGTTGACGACCTGCTCGAGTGCCTCGATGTGGCGAAATGGTATCGAACTGCATTTCAGGCCACTTGACCAATCAAGCAAATGCAGCGCCTCCCTTAGCAGCTCTTTGCCGCTGTCCAAGCACCCTATAAACAGCTGATAACGATCCTACAAATCGTAGTTATTAAAATCCACAATAATCAGTGTAATAGCTACGACTATGACTAACCACGATCACAAAGAGCGCTGCGTCTTTAGCCCTCTGCTCGGACAGCGCGTAAGCCTTAACATTCTCCATCTGTGGGTCCACTCTAAAGAAACCTATGAAATTATCTAGACAATAAAACTCCGCACAATATTTGGGCCATTGTTGCTTATAATGCTGCTGGTAGATCTCCAGCTGCTGAAGGTCGACACGTTCCAATTGGAGCGACATGCTCAGAGCCAAGCACAAAGACGACTGCGACGAAGCGAGCGAGCGTGACAGACTGAACTCAATTGGACGAAATGAAACATGTTTTGAAGAGCGCGAGAGAATGAGATTAGGGAGGTGTAAGAATTTTTAGTTGGAGAGCGAAAAAAATATGCATCTATCGCAAATGAAACTGAACGATGGTTGTTGATAGTGAGAGATGAAGAGCAGTTATATGATGTTTTCATATGACTTAAGTTATATATATTTTTTGTTTCTTTGTTTAATTATAAAACTATTTAACAGTTACCAAACTGTTAACTACTGTTTACTTACAGTTGACGTTGGGGTTTTTATTCACATCAAATGAAGTATATAATACAAATAAATATTCCTTACGGAATAGTGTTTATTTTTATTTTTCTGACGGCAAAAGTTTTCAAACTGTTTTACATATGCGAAAGCCTTTTTCCATATCTCTGCTGAGCATTCCTTAGGTGTTATTCCTGGGTGTCATTCACCCTTTGGCCAGGTGAAGATGCCATTGACAGGCGGAGTGATTACCCAATGGCAATAATCGACTTTTTGGAAGCCCAGCTTATTGAATAAATTCAGAGAGGCTGTGTTCGTGACGCTGACTTCGGCGATCACATCATCTCCCGCCTCGGCGATGCGGCGAGCAAGGGCCCGGACTATAAGATTGCCGAAGCCGCGTCGTTTGTGCGATTGCCGCACCTGCAAGGCGCCCAGGAGACCATCTTGTGTTCTAAGAGCAGAAATTTCTTATATAAAAGTTCACATAAAGTGGAAATAGCATTATGAACCTGATGCACCAAGCCACTAGCCTATGAGTATCCTCCTCAAACAGGCCCATGCTCTGACACATGCGTATCTGGCGCTGTATGAAGTACAAGGAACCCTCCTGGCTATAAGGCCACTCCTGATCAATGATGCGAGCATCTAGCTCTTCCAATGATTTCAGATAGAAGCCTTTTGGGCAGCTGTTGAGTGAAACCGTTTAGATAAGATAAGATACAGACCGCAGAGAGATATCGTACTCTATGTCGAACTGCAGTGCCTGTTTGGCTGGCAGGTGATGCAGGATATCAATGAATTGAAATTCGATTTCGAGTTGCTTCTCTTCGACCACTTGTAGTACAGGCTCAAGATATCGCTGGGGCACAGTGCTGCATTGGATGCCCGTGGACCAGTCCAGCAGATGCAAGGCCTGTTTCAGCAAGTCAAACGATTCACCCAGGCAACCCATAAGCACTTGATAGCGATCCTACAAAGTCATCCGATAGAATCATGCTTGGTGTAAAGAGTCTCGCTCATAAATACCACAATTAGATAGAGACCCAGCTCCTGTGCCTGTTTATCCGGCAGGGTGTAAGCCTTCAGATACTTTATCTTCGGATCGAGCTTCAGGAATGAGATCATGTTCTTCAGACTATAGAACTCCTGGCAATACTTGGGCCACTCCCGCCTGTAGAGCACCTGCACTTGGAGCAAGTCTTGTACTTTTAGAGTTTGCAGCTTCATCTCTGTGCTTGTTGCTCGCTCAGCGGACAACTTGTTATAAGATAGGAGATTTCGATGGCTGCGCTTTATATAGTCTATGTAACTGGTAAGATAATACTAATCCGACAAATCTTAACGCTATTTGGTGATGAGTGTCACATAACAAAGCTAGGCTGTTTACTCTCTGTCTGCTAATCATTCGCTTATAAGCCAACTAAGTGAGCTCTCTGCCGTGGGCAAGCACATGCTCCAGTAATAATGCTCTCCCTTGATTAGCATAAACTGTAGCTTTTCAAATACTCTACAGGCGGCCGTATTATTTAGATTAACCAGCGCTGTCACATCGTGATTTAAGTCGCCGGATATGCGCTTGGCTATGGCAGCGGCCACAACTAAGCCCAGGCCACGACGCTGATGCGTGGGTAGCACCTCCAGGGCGCCCAGGAAACCGCTCTGCAATCTATATGGAAGAATGTTATTCATGTTCACTGTTATTTAGGGCCGACCTACCTTAAACACCAGGCACAGAGCTGCCCAGTTGCCTGATCATACAATCCCACATTGGTATTCATCTCTATCAGCAGCTGGATGAGCTTTAGTGAGCCTGGATGCTTAGCTGACCAGAGCTCATTGATGAGCTCTGCGTGCTCCAGCCGCACATTGTCCAGAAAGTAGCCCGGCGGGCAGTTCACTTGCAGTTCTTTGGCCTGCTCGCAGGGCAGTCGATACATAATGGTCTTCATTTCGCGATCCATGAACAGATGATGCTCCGCCAGCAGCTGTTTATAGATCGCATGGTGCGTCTCGTGAATGGCGCTCACTTTATAGCCACGTGTCCAGTCCATCAGTGTTAGTGCTGTTAACAGCTCAGGTGTCTTTTGTCTGCTCAGATTACTGAAGAACAATTGATAGCGATGCTGGAAGTGCCACAATATAAAGTGTTAAGCCCTGGGTAAGCCATATCACATACAGACCACTAGTATAAAGAGCCCATCACGTCGCCAATTGCCGTTGAGTGTGTAGAATGTTAAGTACTTAGTATTGGGATTCTTTTGCAGCCAGCGCAAATAGTTGTCGAGCCAGTAGAAGCCCACGCAGTGCTTGGGCCAATCCTTTAAGTGGAGCTCCTTCAGTGCTGTTAGCTCAGCTAAATTCGAAATTGTTGTTAAGCTGGAGGCCATCTGCAGTAGTTGTTTATTATAATTATAAAGCTATCTTATTTAATCGTATTTAATTTAATGAGAAAAGGGGCGCGGCAGTGGAAAATTAGCCGGTGTTGAATTAGGTATGACAATGCTTATCATCACTGTTATCACTCTATCACGCAAACTAAAATTAACAGCAGATCAGCTGTTGTTTTAATAACTTCCACAAATGTTATGGGCAGATAACTGTAGTTTTACTCGTTCAATTTCAACAGCTGATCAGCTACGTTGAGTGACTTGAAGAGATGCTCTAAATTATGTACAACAATAATATGCTAATAATACAGTTCCCAGCATTTATATACCAAATAAATTAATGCGTTTTTGGTATGTAACACTTTAAAAGTCAGGCGGAAATGCTAGCAAAGTTTCACACCATATTGTGGCACAACAGATTTGCTTATGGTGGGTGGGTGGATCGATTGCTTGTTGCACACTAGCACGGACCAGTGACCCTAGACTTGGTAGTGAACGCTGTTGTCTAACTGCTTTATCTATGTTACCTACCTACTTAACACTAGTTGGCGTCTTTACAAATACATTAAGAGAAAATAACGACAGGTGGCGCCACAACGAACTTACTGTTGATTGCGCTTCATAATGTTGCACTTAGCTTATCTACCGAACACTAGATGGCGCCACCGCACCCAACAGTTCCTAACGAAAATTCATAACGTTTTAGTAAATTTAAAAAAACTTGTAACTTTTTATTAAACAGTGGGCGCTTGTTTTTGTTATTTTCGTACATACGTCTCGCGTTGCTTTGCATATATACACAAAAAATACCAATGCTTAAATAACTAAATTGATATAGTACATTTGCCAATCTTCAACTTCATATTTTCTTTTGTTTGTACAATTCAATATACACATTAAAACATTTAACATACAAATTACAAATTAAAAAATACAAAATATATAAAATATGCATATACAAAGATATGTGTGCAGCTAAACAAATTTTTTAGTTGTTTCGCTGCTCGCTTCTACCGTATAGGAAATTGTTGTCATCTGCTTCAGGATTTGCTGCGATCTGGGGCTGAGGGACCTTCAGGGCTCTTCCTTGATCGTTGGTGTTTCTGTTGCTGCGCCTTCTGCTGTTGTTGCTCCTTCTGCAGCTGCTGCCGTTGTTGTTGTTGTGGGAAATAGTTTGGAGGCAAGCGTCTTCTTCAGCTGCAATATGCACTTGGACTCCTCGGCCTCTGCCTCCTGCTGTCGCGCCAGTTGCTCCTCCTGCTGCTGCTGCTCTTGCTGCTGTTGCTCCTCGCTGCTGTCGTCGCCCGACTTGGCGCGCTCCGCCTGCAGCCGGCGCAGCTCCTGGGCCAGCGTTTCCGCTGACTCTGACTGCGTGGGCGTATGCGAGGATGTGGGCGTGTGCGAGGCGGAGCAACTGGACGAGGCGGAGCTGCGTGATGTTGCCATTGGCAGTGACTGTGGCTGCTGCTGCTGTTGCTGCTGTTGTTGTTGCTGCTGCTGCTGTTGCTGCTGCTGTTGCTGCTGCGTGACCTTGCCCATGAACGTGCGTATCTCCTCGAAGTAGGACTCCTCATTGGGATTCTCGCAGAAGCGACGAATGCAATGCATGCGCTCACTGACCCCACTCAGGGCGCTCAGCGAGACCGCATCCGATTCGTGCTTCTTGAGGTGCCGGTCGAGATTCGTCTGCTGGCCGAAGCAGCGCTCGCAGATCTCGCACTTGAACGGCCGCTCCTTGTTGTGGATGTTGCGCACGTGCCGCTGCAGATTCGAGGAG